GCTTATGTGCAACAGTTGCTTGTAGTTTATTTGTATGTCTCTCAGAATTGTTTGTTTTCTCCCTTGATCCCTGGTATGTGAGAACCACACAAAATTCTACTCAGTTCCATACATGCAAACTTACTACAGGGTATAAAGGCAAAGCTATGTTGTGTTGGGAGTATGTTTTTATTTGGATTGCACACTAACTTCATTGGAAAGGAGGTTTGACTTAATAGCACAGCATAGCCAAAGGAAACTAAAAATAACAGCGTTTTAGGTTAAACTACAGCATTTTATATCTTTTGGGTAGATACTACGTTTAGATAAAGCATCCCACAGCCATTTTTAAACCTGTGGGGCTTAATATAGGTAATGGTGAGGCATTTTAATTAGAGCAGCTCTCCAGAAACTGCACTGATTAACCCTCCACCCTCAAGCATGTGTATAGGCAGCCCTTGTGTCTTGCTACTCAAAAACATATTTTTACTGGTTGATGTCATGGAAGTGTCATTCAGTTAGTAACGGTCATACAGTTTGAGCTAGCTACAGGAAGGAACCATTACACAATATATTTCCACAAAGTACACTGTGGGGTCTACCCTAACTCCTTGCATTTCTTAGTCAAATTGGGTGCATTTATACGTGCAATTAATGTGACATGATGAACTCTGGAACTTTCTGGGCTGGAGTACACTGTGCCTGGGTGCAGAATTTACACTTACGTCTGGAACAGCAGCACTTTGAGCCAGGGTGGAGCAGGCTCAGGCTGGCAGCAAGCTCAGAGGGTCAGTCCTGTGCTCCATATGACAGCATTGGGCAGTGGAGGGGCTGTCTGGGGCATGAGAGTACTGAATGTACAGAGTCGTGGTTAGGCAGCAGGCAGGGATCAGTGTATATACATGCATTTCAGTGCACTAAATCAGTGGTTCTCAGCCTTCTTCACACCAGGACCTAGTAGCATAAATATCATATCTCTCTCTCTCTCTTCCCCACCCCCTTTGGCTCCTGCATCTGGCCCCCTCTCTGGCTCCTGGGGCTGCTCTCGCAATGCTGCATACTTGCCATGCCCCCAGCTGCGTGGTGGCTCCATGTAGTGCACAGGGAAACCCTGCGATTCCCCGTAACCCTTTACAATGTTCTTGCGACCCACTTGGCCCTGACAGTACTATCTTACGGCATAGTTAATTAGCTTACTGTGTCCTAATACTGGCGCGTGTGTTGAACTGTGATGCTTTCCTAATGCTAATTAGTCTACTCCACAGTAAAGCATACATGTAGATCAGGGGTGGGCAATTTTTTCGGGTGGAGGGCCGCTTACTGAGTTTTGGCAAGCCATCGAGGGCTGCATGACAGGCAGCCAGGGGCAAATAAACATTAATTTTCTAAATTTTTTAGGGGCCCCACAGATGTGATAGCGTGGCCTGGTGGGCTGCATCCGGCCTGTGGGCCGCATTTTGCCCACCCCGATGTAGATGCACCCACTGAGTCCAACTGAACTTGTCTTGGAGTAATAAAACTATGCTGTCATGAGCAGGCATCCTGATTTTTCCCTGATTTAAAAAAAAAAAAAGTTGCAAATTTGTCTGATCTTAAATCACAAATTCTCTGATTAATCTCAGATTTTGGGGTTTTTAAAATGAAAGGTCCCCCCCATAGTCCCCCTGGCCCTGCTGGTGCCTCTTGCCCCCTACCCACAGCTCCTGCTTCCCCAGCTCTACTGAAGGGGGCTGCCACCTGCCAGGGTTATGGGGCTAGACAGCCCCCTGCCCTTGGCAGGAGGTAGCAACTGCTGCAGTGGAATGGAGCTTGGCCTCCCCCCAACCCCACCATGCTGCAGGCTCAGGCGTTGGGGGTGGGCAGCTGCCTGCTGTAGTACACACTGCCAGGGGGAGGTGGGACCCGTCCCTCCCAGATCTATGTGTGGGACAGGGGCTGCGTGCTGCCCACTGTGGGATCAGGCTCTGGCCCTGATGCCTTCCCCGGGGCCTCCGAAGCCCAGCGGGTGTGAATTGGTGCTGCTGTGAACACTGAACAGCCAACTGCCCTGGTGATGCATTCCCTGCATGCTGAGCTATAGTGGGGCAGGGTTGTGTGTAGCAGACCCAAGCAGCTTTTCTGTGCAGCCCATTGTTCTTTGCAGCGCCAGGTTGTACACACTGGGTTGCGGAGGTCCGAAAGAGGGCAGCAGGGCAGGAGCGTGAGCCTGAAGTGGGTAGCCTGCATCCTGTGCACAGATCTGGGGGGGGCATGGGTCCCCCCTGCTTTCTGGGAATGTGCACAGTGGTGAGGAGCAGCCCCTCTGCCTGAGCCTGTAGGGGGCAGCCTGCTCCACCCCTGCCTGATGCACAGATCTGGGGGGCATGGGTCCTGCCTGGCCCCTGGGCGTGTGAGCATCAGGGGGAGCTGGCCCCATCCCCCTACCCCTGGACGAGCTGCCCACCGCCCCATTCCGCTCCCCACTGAGGCCCTGTGGCTGCGTATTGTGGCCCTGGCCCCAAACCCTAGGCACTGCCTGGCTGGGCAGCAGCCCCAGCCCTGTCCAACTCCTTCCCTTACTATGGGGGCCTCAATCCTCTCCTTCCCTCTCCCCCCTCAACTTACCTGCAGGAGCTGGTCTCCAGGCTGCCTGGGCCATGTGCGTACAAATGCACTTAGTGCCCCTGCCTGACTGCCCTCCTCCCACTCCCCCCAGGCCCCTGCCAAGCTGCAACTCTGCCAGCCTGCAGAGAGCTCATTGCAAAACTGCAAAATATGTGGGTTTCTCTGGTAAAATGAGAAATCCATGTTTGCCTCCGGTAAAAGATAAAACCCGTGGTTTTCTCTGTTTTTCCATGGGAAAGGGAAAACCAGGATCCCTGGTCATGAGCCATCTATCTTAACGGGGTTTGAACTGTATTGTGCTTGCCAAACAGGAAAACATCTCTCTTCATGGCGATATGAAGCTGCTGAATCAAATGCTGCTCTTATTGCCATTTCTTAAGTTTATAATTGCTCCCAGAACTCAGAAATCTGCCTAGAATAAATGCCAGAGTAAGTGTATATCTGGAACATTTTTCAGTGAAGTAGTTGGATTTATTCCTGATTAATACTGCTCAGAATCTGCTTTCTGCTTTTGAATTGTAAAGTATCTGGCCTCTTCAAGTATTGTCACCAAAGACAAAATGGTCCCTCCCTTTCCTTCTGTCTCTGATAGCAGAATATCCTTTTTTTCTTTTTATTAAGGTCATTACCTGAACTATTTATCTCATCTTACCTGTCTGTGAGATGGTTGTGCAGAAGATCACATGGGGAAAAACCTCTTTCCTTAGCCTTGTTCTTGGAAACAACTTGGGCATGTTTTGACCAAAAAAATATATAGCCTGGGATAGACACTAAGCATATAATACTGAAACCTTGCAAAGGTGAAAACAAGGTGTGATGATGGACATGTCAAGTAACTCTAAAAGGCACTGTCTTCCCTATAATACATAAAGTAAGGAGCTGCATACTTCAGCTTTTATATGCTTATGAGATGACCAAGCATTTTAATGTGGGATTTTGCATACTAGCTTGTAAAGTAGGCCCTTTAAAATAAATTACTTTTCTATATATTCCAAAAAAAAATTGTAGACAAGTATGTGTGGTTATGTATCTTTCACATATATACGAAAATATAAATATGAAGATTTGGCCTCATCTTTTTACAGCAAGCAGATTTAAATAATAGGTTTAGAGATGAATAATTTCTCTTTCCATTTTTCTTGCAATTGAAACAAAAACTGAATGATTTCTTTTAAAAAAATCAAGCATGCAGATTAGAACACAGATACATGTATATGCTGGCAGAAGGAAGGAGGCACAGTAATTTTTCAGAGATACTACAAAATATGTTTGCCTTGTTAAATATATTGATACATATTTCTTTAGAGCATAAATTGGCATGGACGGCTTTCCAAATGTTAATCTGTTAAAATATTTTTAACAGGAAAAAAACTATTTGAAAGAGATTATTCTGCTCCTAATATATCCTATATTATGTAGGAGATACTTCATAGCATTCATTCCCTGTGTCTTCACCCTTATCCACTCCTGTAAAACAGTAACCTGTGAACAGCAGAAGGGGATGAGGTTACTGTATCTCGCCTTGAGAGGACGCATTGTTAGGGAGTATGAAGCATTCCAGCACTGAGATTATCAGGGAGTCGTTATCCACTCTTTGGCACTTGTTGCCTAGGAGACAAATGTAATCCGAGGATTTTTTTTCTCTCCCTTTCTTCTGTTTGATTGGAGATGCTATTGACTTCTGGGTTGGAGGAGTCAGTGGAGCAGCACGCCAAATGTCATAAGACAGAAATTAATCACTAAGCAATTGGTCTAAATTCCATTGATTCTCCCCCTCCTTTCTTATGACTACTATACTTGGAAAACTAGTGCTTAAGCTAAACACGCAGTCAAGAAGCTCTTCACACTTGGGGCTCTTGAGTAGGAAATCCTCAACCGAATGTCACTTCACTTCTTTTTATCTATATCTTTCTGGGTTTGCTGTGACTGCTGTTTTTAAAATAAGAGGCATGCGGTCCTAAAAGCTTGTTTGTTGTTTGGTGTCCGTCTTTGCCTGCACATAAGACTGAAGATTTTAAGAAAAACATTTTTTGTGTTTCTTTTAATAAATGTACTAGCTGATTCTGCTCTTGCTATTTTTAGTGGTGCGATTCCATTTTCTTCAGTGGAACTATTTCTGATTTAGGTGTAAATGAGAGCCTCAGAAAACCTAATATATTTTAATAAACAACACATCTTCTTCCTTCTGCTTAATTACTATAATGGAGATCTAATCTTGTAGGACAGGGATTGTCCATCTACAGCCAATAGACTGAATGCAGACTCCAAGCAATTTAATCTGGCTGGTAAAGATAGGTGTCTGCAGCAGTTCAGCAATGGGGAAGTGGCAGCTGGGTTGGAAGTGCATTGGCAGCAATTTGGTGGCAAGGGGTCATAAGTGGCAACCCGTCATTCTCAAGCAAGCTAAAGTAGTCTGGATTGGATAGAGAACTGGCTGGATTGTTGGGCTGAAAAGACTCAGTGACTACTTGGCAGCCGGTATCAAGTGTAGTGCCCCAGGGGTTGGTCCTGGGGCCAGGTTTGTTCAATACCTTCATCAGTGACCTGGAAGACAGGATGGACTGCACCCTTGGAAAGTTTGCAGATGACACCAAGCTGGGGGGAGTAGTAGATATCCTGGAGGGTAGGACTAGGATTCAGAGAGACCTAGACAAATTGGAGGGTTGGATCAAAAGAAAACTCATGAGGTTCAATAAGGACAAATGCAAAACCCTGTACTTGAAACCAAATGATCCCATCTACCAGTACAGGCTGGGGACTGACTGGCTAAACACCAGTTATGTAAAAAAGGACCTAGAGGTTACAGTGGACAGTAAATTGAATATGAGCCAACAGTGTGTTCTTGTTGTGAAGAAGGCTAACTGCATACTGGGTTGCATTAATAGAAGTATTGCCAGCAGATTGAGGGAACTGGTGAGGCTACATTTGGGGTACTGTGTCCAGTTTTGGGCTCTGCTACAGGAAGGATTTGGACAAATTGGAGAGGAGTCTAGCGGAGGGCAATGAAAATGGTAACAGGCCTGGGCCATATAACTTATAAGGAGAAGCTGAGGGAACTGGGCTTTTTTTAATCTAGAGAAGAGAAGACTGAGAGAGGATTTAATAGCAGCCTTCAACTACCTGAAGGGTGGTGCCAAAAAGGATGGAGCTAGACTGTTCTCAGTGACAGCAGATAACAGAACAACGAGCAGTGGTCTCAAGTTGCAGCAAGGGAAGTTGAGGTTAGATAATAGGAAACACTTTCTCACTAGGTGAGTAGTAAAGCACTGGAACAGGCTACCCAGGGAGATTGTGGAATTTCCATCCTTGGAGTGTTTTAAGACTTAGGTAGACAAAGCCTTGGCCAGGAGGTCCTGCTTTGAGGTGGGGGGTTGAACTATGACCTCCTGAGGTCTTTTCTAATTTTCTATGATTCTAATTTGGACCCCTGTTCTTAAAAGGTTGCCAACAGCTGCTGTAGGACTCTCTCACCTCCCATTAACCTTGGTAGGCATTTGGTCTACTCCTTAACTAACTGTGGGGATACTTGCACCCCTCTGGATTAGACCTTCACTTTTTAAGTTTCTGTTCTTTTAGTTAAAAATCATGAATGAGAAGTAATTTAAAGGTGGTATAAGGAGTTACTAAATTTTGTCCCTCATGAGCAAATGTTACAAATCGGGGCGGGTTTTATAACTCCTTAGAACCATCCAAACCTTTCCTTCCCCTTGGTGTTAATGCTTTTAAAATAAAACTGATAGAATTCTTACAAAATAAATTAATTGTAGCCATCTTTTCTTCAGTCCTTACCATATGTTGATGGTGACTTGCTATATGTGGTTTTTGGGGTGTACAGATTGCCACCAGCAGTTCCCTGTTGTGTGTGGCAGTCTACATATGTTGTCCATTTTTAATTCATTCCTTTCAATTTGAAACATGTGGCCCTTGACAAATTCCATAGACTACATAATAGTGATTGGCTGTTTAGTATCTAGGTATTTATTTATGACAAATTCCTAGATATCTGTCTTGCTGTCAGCTATTACCCTGTTCTTGGAGGCGCAGTTATACTACTCTAAGGGAGAAAGCGAACCTAATGCTTTTGAACACACACTGGCTTAATCCAGTGTTAACTATTCCTCAACCTTGTTTCATTTGGGGGTAAACTGACCTGTTCTTTCCACAGGATCAAAGTGGGCAGACGGCACAGTTAGAGCATATTCAGCTGAACTTAAGTAAATCTCTCTCCATGCCCCCCTGCCCTTTGAAGTACTATAATTGGTTTGTCTATCCATGTGCTGCCTTAGAAGAAATAGTCTCAGGAATCTCCCTCCCATTAAATACAAGGCTTTCAGTCTTTTTACTGGATCAATCTCATTTTGCTACCTGCCCTATTCTTAATATCTTTAGATCTCTTTGGTGGGTTTTCTCTCTTGTACTAGGCCCTTTCAACTGCTGGCTCTCACTTCATGTTATTGTTAGGGACCGACCTAAATTGTGATGGAAGTCCTTTAATTTTTCTCTTTTTGTCACATCCTCCCCTCTACCCCATGCCACTGATTGGCAGAGGAGACTTGATGGTCCTGCTGCTTGCTGCTGATCTGGCAGGAGGCAAAAACTGCAGGATATTTAAAACCGTGGTTTTTTGCCTCCTGGCCGATCAGTGGCGGGGCTGCCAGAACCCTTCTGCCAGTTGGGATGGCCGGGGTGGAGGGGTGCTCAGCAGAGATAGCAAGATTAAAGGAGGTGCTGTGCAGTGCCTTTCCTCCACGATTTAGGTAGGTCCCTGGTTATTGGACACTTGTCACCTTGTAGAAGCCAGCTTTTGTTTGCAAAACTTTCCACTTCAGACTAATTTATTAGTTTACCTTTTTCTAATGGATGTTGAGTGTCCTGTATCTGAAAATACAGGCATTTAAGTTTTAATTTAACGACACTGTTAAAGAAACTTGTATTGCCATAGCTGTTTCCTGAAACTCATGGCAGGATAAACAGTGTTGTAACCCCCTTTCAGTGCTTTATCAAGTGTAATTACAATCAAATTATGAAATTGATTTGCAAACATTGGTTCATTTCTGCATAAGCAAATTTTCAAACAGACCTTTTGTGTTCAGAGCAGCTGCTCAGGATCTGGTAGAATGTTTGAAGGTCAAATGTAAAACATCACTTGATAATTCAGGTGTTGCATGAAAGCACAGGTATACTGCTTCCCTGTGGAACCTCAAGTTGCAAGCTTAATGAGGTAGCTTGTATAGCAGCATTATTCTGAGTTCTTCATATGCAAATGTTTTGTGTTGTATGGTAAAAGAAGCTATTTTCACACCGTACCTAAAGTTTATTTCCTCTTTTGCATTGACCAAAAACATGTATGCTTTTATGAGAGCAAAAAATATGCTGAAGTGAAGATGGCATTAATAAAGTAAGGACTAATAGTTCTTAACACGGGGAAGTTTTCTCAAGTTACATGTTTTCTATGCTATTGTTTCTAAGGAATAGCCCTGCTTTGCAAACTTATGTAAAAGGGTGGATTCATGGCTCTCACTCTACCTAGTGGATAGAGTAGTGGTCTCCAAACTTAAGTAGGAGATCACCTTTGGCATTTAAAAGCAACCCAAGATCTACCGTATGTTTCCACCACCCTTTTTCTACCCCCACCCAGCAAGTAAGCCTGTGGGGAGGGGAAGGGGAGGAGCAGATTGAGGTAGAGGGAGAAAATATTATTTTGGGGTGCGCTTCCCCAGCAGGTAAGTCCCACCTGGCCAGGGCCCTACTCAACTTAACTTTGCTTCTGCCTCTGTGACACTGTCCCTCACTGTGGGGGCCTCAATCTAGCCCCCGCCCCTTCCCTCCCCCATGGGCTGACCTGCTGGGCTGGGGCACATGGACACTCAGCCCTCCATGCTGGCCTTGGATTGACTCCAAGAGGCTCTGAGATCTGCTGGTGGATCAAGATCCACTGGTTGGTGACCACTGGGATAAAGTATCTCTCAGGGAATAAGGAGACAGATTCTATTCCTCATTTAACTGTTGGCCTGCTGGGTGATCTTCTGTAAATCACTTCATGTTTCTGTGACTCAGTTTAGCTATCTGTAAAATGACGTAGATAATGATTTTCTGTGTAGAACGGTTTGAGATCTACTGTTGATGTAAGCTACAAGAGTCGGATATTGCTGTTATTGCTATGGTGTTTTAAAATAACTTGACATAAATTTTAAGTATGTTAGTTTAATGTTGGCAAGTGGTTTTAATGAGCTGGATAGACTGGAGAAATGGTCTGCAGTCAGTCATCTGAGGTTCAACAAGGACAAAGTAGTTCACTTGGAAGAAATAATTGTATACACAAATACGGATGGGGGGAACGATTGACTAGGCTGTAGTACTGCAGAGAAGGACCTGGAGGTTACAATGGGCCACAAGCTGCGTATGAGCTAACATTGTGGTCTTTTTGAGCACAGTGGCCAAGAGTATACGAGGTGGTGTCACCAGGAGTATCACTTGCTAATCAAGAGAAGTGATTCTTTTGCTCTGTTCAGCACTGTGGTGAGGCCTCAACTGCAGTACCATACTGGGCTCAACTGCCCAGTTTTGGGCACCACACCTTAAAGATGTGGACAGTTTGGGAAGAGTCCATCAAAGAGCATCAAAAATGATCAGGGGCCTGGGATGCAATATTTATACAGAAAGGCTGAAAGAGCTAGGGTTGTTTAGTCTGGAGAAGAGGACACAGGGGACTTGATAACCATTTTCAATTATCTAAAGGACGATTGCAGAGAGGATGGACATGGGTTTGTCTCTGTGACTGTAGAGGACAGTACAAGGAGCAATGGCTTTGAGCCTTCAGCAAAGAAAGTTTTAGGTTGGAGATTAGGAAGATCTTTCTGGGTGCATCAGCACAAGATGCTTTACTGCACAGCAGACGTGTGTGGCAATTAGGGTTCAGTAGACTAATTTACTGCACTGCCACATAGTCCCATCAGATACAATTGGTAGCTGGCAGTGCAGTAAATTACTGCACTTAAAAGCATGTGTAGATGGTGATGTTGGGATTAGTTTACTCTGTCTCAGATTGAGCCCGAGTATATTCACTCACATTAATTGCATGTGTAGCTGTACCCTCTGACTGTGAGGATGACTAAGCATTGGAACTGGCTATGTAGAGAAATTGTGGACTCTCCATCCTTGGAAGTTTTTCTAGAGCAGGTTAGATGGACACTTGGCTGGGATGGTTTGATCAGGGAATGATCCTGTCTTGAGCTGGGGGCTGGACTAGATGATCTTGTGAGATGCCTTCCAGCCTGACTTTCCTATGATTCCTAAGGTCTTACAAGTAGATGGGCATGTATTAGCTCAGGGCTTAATTCTGGGTTCTTGAATGGTCATGTTTTTTAACTTTAAAAACTGGGAACTGTAGAGCAAGCACCAGGTCATTCCTTCATTAGTGCTCTTGTTAATACTTGGGCACAATATACATGTATGAAGCCCAGGATTGATCTAGAAAGTTCATCAAAAACAGGGTCATGGATCTTGGGTTCTTCTCAGTCCTCAGTAAAAGAGGGCATGCTTTTGGTTTGTACTTGTGTTTGTGGCATGCCTGCGAAGTGGTAGGTATGTCACAGAAAAATGTGAAGTATGGTTTCTCCAGTTAAGGCAACATTAGGCAAAGGCATGGGAGGTAGGATGCAACAAGATCTGGTAGTCTGAGATGCATGAAATGAGTGCTCAGACTTTGTATCCTGTGCTCTTCAAGCGAAGACTCAGACCGTGCCCTGAGCTCCATGCAGGCAGCTATCTGATGCCACAGGCAAGCTCATTGAAGTCAGAGCAGTCTGTCGCAGGATCAGGGTCTGAAGTCAGTAAGCTCGGAGGAGGGTTTATAAGCATCTCAAATGTTGGGTAAAGCCCCTTGAAATGTCTTTGTATGATAGGGGGGCAACACTTGGAAAGTTGATAATGTTTCACAAAGATGATAATCTTTCAAAAGCAGAAGTGTATTTTTCCTCCTTAGATTTGAAAATCTTCATAGGATTTTCTTTCTCTTTTAAACCTAAACCTCCACTGCATACACTTCAGTGTAGTGAGGATCTTGGTTTACTAATGTAAGTTGTAGTACTAGAAAGAGATGACTACTTACCTACCTGACAGAAAAGCAGGTTTTAATGTAACTTAACCGTTTTTTCCCCTTCTGGAAACATTTACTAAAAAACTTATTAAACTGACTGGAAAGCCTGCAACCTCTTCAGCAATCAGTAGCTAGTATTGGTGTTTGTTTGACCTGTTTTTTGAACAGATGTCGGTATCTTGGTAGAGTGACTTTTGATTTGTGCTAGTTTTTTGTGGGGTGTTTTAAGTACCCATAATATGTTTAAATGGCCACTTTTCTCTCTCTTCCCAATTGATTTAGGGATTTTTAAAATGTATTAATATTTTTAAGAGCTCAAACAGAACAGTTTAAAGTATCTACACTCTGAGGTTCCTGGTGCTAAGACTAGAGAGAGGACTATGCTTTGAACTGCAGAATAAGCATTAAGTGTGTGTAAGCATTGCTATTACAGTTTGACTACTGGAGTGAGTTGCTCAGTGGGTTTGGAGAGGTAACTAAAGTGAAAACTCATTTAATTATCAAGATTTCACAACAGCTTTAAATGGTTTAAACACTGATGGTACTGGTGTTTGAGGGGGCGCAGGTGGGGCTTTTTGAAGGTTTTTTTTTTCCCCTCGGAGAAAAGGTTAGATAGATTGTAGTAGACTGGTGTCAGTTGGTTGATGAATTTCTAAGTTGTTTAAATTCTTATTATAAGTGGGTTTGTTAGGTTTATTTAACTACAGCAAAAGGGAAAAATAATGTTTTACTTTCCTTTCAAAGACCAACTTATGTATCCCCTAAGCTGACATTTAAGAATATAACTTAATAATTTTATAACGTATAACTATAGTGAATATTTATAACATAGCGCATGTAATTTTTCCAGTTTGGGGGACATGGGGAAATTACAATATATTACTGAATCTGTTTAATTAAAATGAGAAGGTAAAGGTGACTACAGCGTGTGTGCATGCTTCTGTCTTCCCTTGAAATTTTGATTGTAAGAATAAAATTTAAAAATATAACTAGAGCAGTTATCTTTGGCAAGTAATAAGTAAATCCACTGCTTTTCCTAATTATAAATATGGCTATGTTGCTAAATCAAGTATTTATTTTTTTTAATTCTTTTTCTTTGCAGAGTATTGGAAAGGGGTCCTTGTGGTGTATAGACCCAGAATATAGACAAAATCTTATTCAGGCTTTGAAAAAGACACCCTATCACCCATATTCGCATGTGTTCAATACACCTCCCACATCTCCTCAGGCATATCAAAGGTAAGAAAACTAGACGCATTTTACAACTGCTGTTTTCCATCCAGCTGTATTTATGGATCTTGGCTAAGATACCAAATATAATAAATCACAATAATTAAGAAAATATGGTAACTTACAGTGTATTATAATAAACAGTCAATTTCTTGGTTCACGCTCCAGTATTCCTTACCTTTCTGTTCTCTGGCGTGTCAGCGATGTGATGGTTCTGATACTTCCATCAATCTCAATTTCAGTGTTTCCCATGGATAAGTTACAGAATATCTCAGCAGAGAAAATATTTAAAATTAGTGTGTGCACAAGCAAATGGGGGTTCTTTGAAAAGTCAGTTTATCCAGTTTCAATAGATTAAAAAATGCAGCAGTTGCACTAGTAGAGTGCTAGTTAATTATTTTCTTTCTAGCTTGTTACTCAGTCCACAACTGTGTTGTTAGTGCAGGTATCCAGTCTCCATGCAAACCTTGCATCTAGGTGATTTAAAGTTCCTTCTGTTGTGGTTACATGCCCCGTAGATAAGTGTGCACACGTAGGTTTGTCTCAAAGGTGTACAATGGAGACCAATGGAGTCTTTCATTCTCATTTAATAATGAAATAGGTGCATTTTATCTGGCCATTGCTTACAAGTAGTGTTAGTGTTAGTGAAATAAGTGACTGCAAGCAGAGAGAATTTAAGATTGTGATCCACAAAGTAGGGAGGTAAATATTAGGTTCTGAAGACAGCTGCCTTTAGCTGCTGCTCTAGAAAATGTTTAAAAATATACTCTATCAAATAATTGGCTTGAACAGAAATGCCTTTTGATCTTGAAAACATAGTGATGTGTTTATATGTAACATAAAATTTAAGAGGAATTTTATCTGCCTGCAAGCAATTTGTTAATTACCGGAATTATGGATTAATAAGTGATTTTGATGATTTTTGTTTTTCCAGCTTATTTTTTTGAGTCTGATATATGTCCTGCAAGGAGGCGGCAACGCACAAAGTGATTTCTTTCAAGTAATGTTAATGAAGTTCTTGTGCATTCCGTCACATGGCCAGAGAATCAATCTTCAGTCAGAGATTGGGAGGAACAGCTGGGCTTTCGCGGGAGACGGCTGTATGTCTGCCCTTGCTAGGCGATTAGCGTGATGGTAACCATAGTAACTCAAATGTCTCCATAGTAACGCATAGCTGAGACAGGTGCAGTTGCATCACAAGGCTGTTTGTTGCTTGGCAAAAGGACAGGCCATTAGTACTTAGATATATGTTGTCGCCTTGGCAACAAATAACCCTACATAGCAACTACAGTTGGTTTGAAACTTTTTTTTTAAAAGGACACTGTACCTGGTTTTGTCGGTGGGGGTTTCTTTCCAAATAAATCAAGACAATTATATGCTAAATGAGCTCACAACTTGAGGTCATGTAGCTTTAAGAGATCAAATTAATATGGGACTTGCTAAAGCAATGGAGTAATAATGATAAAAATACAGTGGAGGACCTGTAGTACCTTATGGTTTAATACTAGACCTTTCAAATATCTCCTCTGTCTCCTGATGGTGCTTTACAGTTTCCGATAGTTAAATAATTTGGATGATTATTTTACAGTTGCAGTTTAAATAAATATTCAAATAAGTTTTTCTTTCCAGAAGCCTAATGGCTTTATTTTATTATTAATATATTCATAAGCAGTAGAAACAGAACATAATCTATGCAGATGTGTTATCTGTAGAATCTTATTTCATGTCTGTATAAAATGTTAATGCATTGAATTTCTGCGTCCTTAGTAGCTCTAGAATTGGAGGGAGTTTTCTGATCTATGTTAATTCTGGTGCCAGAGAATCCTACCCTGATATAATTTATATTAGAGTTTGCTTAAATTTGCCTTTTTTTGGGGTAGGACTCAGATCTGAGAGAGGCTACTTTAGTAACAATATAACTTGCCTTGGAGATAAAACATTTGCCATTTAAAAAAAAAAAATCAATAGCAGTTCATTTTATTCACAAATATTTTAAACTTCAGTTTCCCCACCCCTCCCCTTAGTGATATAACTGAAAGCAAAACGTCTTGTTGTTAAAGTCAGTCTGTGGAGAGATTTTTCAGGTGATCCATGATTGTCTTGTGTCCCACTGCTGAGAGATGTTGATTTCAGGAGCTGACAAAGCTTGTCTGGATGAGAGGGAGTTTACTCTTGAAAGTGATATAATTACATCAGTGCAAATGTCGTTCAGCTAGACAAGCCCAGACTTGTCTATTGAACAATCTCTTCTGATTGTAAAGATAATCCTGCAGTGTTGAATGGTGGCCTTGGGAATATATGGCACATATCTGCACTGCCAGGGTGTGACCAGAAGCCCCCAGTACTGTACAGCCTTGTGCTTGCTTTTTGTCACTTGGTCTAATGCAAGCCATTGTAACTGGCCATGGGAAAGGCATTATGCAGAGCAATACCAGGATCAGGGCAAGGAAGTTGGGCTCTATGCCTTGACTGTATTTATGGAGTACATAAGAATCTGACTATATTAGGCATGTGTGTGTTTATGCATTGAAAGCACATGCTTTTGCAACTTATTTTGAAAGCATGATTGCTTCTGCTGATCTCCTGAGTCAAGAAGAATTTAATTTTTTCATGGCTGTTGCCACCAGATTTCTTACCACTCCTAGTAAGTTTAACAATAATAGGCCTTTATGATGTAACATTAGTTTAATGCTGAACTCACTTACCCATAAATTGGCATTCGTATAGAATTTCAAGTAGCAACTAATGGAAGAGAAGTTGAATCCTCATTGTATAACTAAAACATTTAGATATGCAGTATTTTCTGTGTTCAGATGTGCCAGGAATCTTCAAAGAGTGTAAATTTCCATCTGCAGTGTCACTTCATCAAAGAACTACCTTGGAAAATTAGCAAATAACAAATGAAAGCCTGATTCTGGGTGTTAAAGATGAAATCTTCCAAAACACTTGTGTGGCAGAATTCCACTACATGCCATAAACTCTGGATGACTGTAGCTCAAGACTGAGAGAAATTACACTGTCTGAAATCAATAAAATACATCTGGAATTACTTAATTCACCTATATTAAAATGCCTCCACTGGGGGTGGATTAATAGAAGGAATTACAAGTCTTATAAAGATCAGAAGGAAAGATCCCACAGGGGCAAATTAATCCACTATTACTCTTTTTTTTGGATGTTGCAAAGGAACTAATGACCATAAACATCTTGTACCATTTAGTATCTTCATAGCAGGTAAGAGGGGAGTTGAGCATAGACGCCGTGTTGAATCATAAGAAGTGCCTCAGGTGATGCCTATTGAGCACACAACTTAACTTATGAAATGTTCTTCCAAAAATAGCTAGCTAGTAGGGCTGTGCGAAATGGCACCATTCCACTTCAACTTGTGTTTCAACATTTCGACGGAACAGCGTTTTGTTTCGAATTTCGTTTTGATTCCAAACTGCTGTTCTGTTTTGTTTCATCAGAACAGTTTCGCTGTTTCGACATTTCGCCCATGGGCTATAATGGGGAAGTTCGAAACAGCCTATAACTTTGTCATTTCTGGCCTGATTGGGATCAAACTTGCAGGAATGGTAGCCCCTTCTGAGGGCATGAACCTGCCAAGGTACAGGGAGATAGGTGCAGGATTTTGGGGGAAACTGCACCTCGTGCTACGGACAAGCAAAACTTGTGACATGGGTGACACTGTGTATGTGTTAAGGCACAGCAGGGTGAAAATGCAGGCATGCTAGCCGCTGATGAGGCCACAATGCCTGCCAGCTTTCAAGGAGATGGGTACCCTGCACCTCTGGCTGCTGATAGACAAAACTCATGGCATGGGTGCTTGTGGGACTGTGTCTGTCTTGGGGCATGGGGGTGAAAACTGCAGGCCTGCTAGACCCTGCTGCGGCCATGAAACCTGCCAGCTGTCAAGGAGATAGGTGCAGGGGAAGTCTGGGTCCTGGGGCTCTGCACCTCTAGCTGCTGACAGGCAAAACTCATGACATGGGTGAGTGACTGTAACAGGGGGCCTTCTTGGGGCCGATTTCCCTGTGGCCCACCCACGTGTTCCTGGGCTAAACACCTGCCTTCTTGTCCACCACGCCTTATTGGTAATTGATTTAATAGCTGTTGATTAAGCAGGAGGCTGCCCATTTCTTGCCCTGATGCCAGGGGGCATTATCTGCAGCCCAAGCCTCGCAGATGGCATCCATAGTTCTCACAATCACCGGCCCTTTGCTAGGCCCCAGAATCCTACTGTTGAACCCCTCTATGATCCCTCCATTCCGGCAGCCTAATTCGCCTTCATTCTCGGCAACATAGCTCCCTGACCTCACAGGTGTGGTCCCCCCCGGGACCTTGAGCTACTAGCCCTGGCCCACCTCCAGGCCAGTCAGAACCCCAGGCCCTCAGCTCTTGGACGCTCCTCGTGGTAGGCCCTCCCGGCTCTTCCGGTCCTGGCCCCAGCATTGACCAGTCGGGGGAATGTTCAGACAGGTTAGTGAGTTTGTGGCCTCACTCTTCCTCTGGGGGTCCACCTTCCAGACCCTACAAAAAGGGTAACCCACCCGGTTGTGGGGGCTAGGGGTTAAGGCGCCACAACCTGCCTTTCACCAGGGTGGTAACTGGCCTGGCATTTGCTGGGGGCTCCCACACCACTGAGAGCCCCACCAGGCCACCCACTCCCAGCAGGGTGCAGTTTCAGGTCATGCCCAGGACCAGGAGCCTCCTGACCATCCCCTACAGCTCCTCCCTTACCTCCAGATAATCCCAGCAGCCCTGCAGCTAGGCGATGTTGTTGCTTGGCCTTCCAGCAGTGCAATGCCCTGTTTATATAGGCAGCCCTGGATCCCAAAATGGCTGCCCTAATCAGGCACCTGCTGGCTTCCGGCCCTTAAAGTGGCAGGCACAAACAGTGCGCTGCCACAGTGACACTGTTTGTGTGTTAAGGTCCACTCTCACTCAACTGACACCAAGGCAGAAAGCAGGGCAGTTCAAACAATGATGTCTTTTATGCAGTTTTTCCATCCCTCCCCCAGAGCACAGGGATTGGAAGGGACCTCAGGGAAAGATGACAGTCACTGGCCAGCTACACAGTCAATAATGAGAGCACTCCTCCCACCCCCTTCCTCCCTCTTCCCCCTCCCTCTCCTTACTTTAGTTTCTGTTTCCCTGCAGGCAAGCCCAGCTTGAGCTTCGAAACCCGAAACGTTTTGAAATTTTCAAAACGTTTCGACTTGCCTCCTTTTGTTTCGAGGCTGTTTCAAAGCTCTGTTTCGTTTCGATTTTGCTGTTTGGAACTGGAAATGAGTCGAAACACCATTGAAATAAAACTACCAGTGAAATTTTGCACAGCCCTACTAGCTAGTAATATGAGCTGACTTGATTTTGTAAATGCAGTAGAATACTCTGCATGAATTTCATGAGAGCTCCTGAAGTAAATAATGTTATAAAGTGATTCAAGTAGATGGCTGGCTCAATTTTAAAGTAAGGAAAACTTAGTATCCATTTATCCCAGTTTGTCTATCAATCAATATATGAACATTTCTTTCTAATACTTGCATTGATGAAATGTGTCTGCAGCGCTCCAAACTGTCACCACTTTAACACTTGTGATCCTCTTATTTTCAAAGGTACAATGTAAACATGTTGAACATTGCACTTCAATGTGCTTATTTATGTAAAAAAAAAATCCCCACACCTTTCTTAGGCTCTTATTTAAAAAATGCACTAACTAAAATATCAAAGCATCTGAGTTAAATTAGAAGTATTTGCTCCCTAATACTGTGTATTTTAAAGAAAAAGTATTTCATATGGAAGAGAAATGTACCTTGGTCTAAAGACTGAAATCTGAAGTGTGTTAAATATTCACAATGCTTGTGATAAAGCAACCTTGAAATATAATTATAGATGCCAGCTCAGTTATATGTAGCTTCTGTAAAGGAATACTTTGATATTTCATCTTCTATATTTCTTCTTAAGTCTTCTGACTCTGTACTGAACTATTGGTGCAATTTGCTCTTTCTGGTAAGGCTTTAATCATTCTGGGATAGATTTCCAGCTCCTCCCCCTCCCCCTCTTCTGTATTGTATCAGGTCAGCTCTCAATTATTTTTGGAGTCCAAGGGATACAGGGAGGGAAGTAGTATAAGCAAATGTATTTATTTCTAAAACTAATACTGTTGGTTCTTTTAATATATAGTTAAAGGTTAGGAAGTCATTTTAAGATCAGGGTTAACCTTTTGTACTTTAACCCATAGCACTTTATCTAGTTGGAAAAAAAACAGCTTGTAGGATTCCTGGAGCCAGAGGTGACTTTTTTTTTACCATCAGCCTTCCCCAATCTTATGCTCATTTGTATTTGCTTTATTGATAGCAAATACTGGCACATTCTGTTCTAAGTTACCAAGTTACTGAGGGAGTGGGGGAAAATGCTTTAAATGTACACCAGTAGAGTGGGATACTGCCTGTTCCCATTCTGCCTGTTCTAGGAATAGTATTTATCTATTTAAAGTTAACTCTCCTCTGACAAGTAACTCCCTAGAATGGTTCCATCTCTTCCGAGCAGAGCAGCTCCTTGCGTGAACTAGGAGGCTTATCTGCTGATGCAGCAGGATTGGGGCCCTGCTGAATAAAGAGTTAAACACTACTTACCTTTTGGCACTGAATCATCCAGTTGACTTCAACATATTGATCTAAAAAATCAGCCTTTCTTCAACTCCCCCAGTGCACTTCAGCTGGGTGAATGGTGAATAAAGTACACAAGTCTGCAGGATCAGGACTTGTTGTGCTGTGTTTGCTGTATATTTATTGCAAGGCAAACTCGGTTGTGGGAGAGCAAGGTGGATTCTCATCTAGTTTATGCATTATCCACAGATTGTTAACCAAGCTCATATTGCAGTCTGCTTGCTGATGCATGGTCACAGTCCAGCTGGGCTTTTGGATTCCAGGCTGACTTTGTAGGGCTGGCAGATAGAGACTTGATGAGTATTTAATCAGATCAACTCAGTGTTGAGCCAAGCCATGCATTTTGTATAAAGTCACTTTTTAGAATAAAGTTACACTTTGCACTATTCACTCATCTTCCCCCTCCCAACCTCCCCCCAATAATTAGCTTACCCCTACATAGTATATTTTTTAGGATCAGAGGAGTTGAAAGTATATTAGTATAAGAAAGACAAGGTTATTTGGGTAAATGTGATATTTTTAATAGAACAGCTAAATAGTTGGAAGAAATGTTCTTTGCAAGCTTTCAGGTGCAAACACCCTTCTTCAGGCATAGGGAGAGTCTGCTCTCTCTTGTGACTCTCCTGGGTGAAAAAGAAGCCAAAATACAAAATGAAAGTCTGTAAAAATGCAATTGTGTGGCAGTGAGGACACAATAAATGTGAGACAGATAGGTGGGGAGGAAGGAGGAGTGTTGATCTGATGATAGAATGTAGCTGGTAAAATGCAGACAGGTTACCTGTGGTTATTGGATGTCAAGCAGGTTGTAATGTACCGTAAATCCAATGTATATATTTCGTCCATGATTTTTTGTATCCAGTAGATTGATGAAGTGAAGTTTGTGGGCTCATCTACGAAAGGTGTTTTTATAAATTACCTTTAAGAATTAGAACTGAGAGAGCGGAGAGAGAGTGGTTGTCTTGTGAGAAGTGTGCATCTACAGGGAATTGGGTATTTTTGTCTTTGATAGATTTTTGATGTGTGTTCATTCTGGTACGCAGTTGTTGTTTGGTTTCTCCTTCATGTTTTCCATCAGGGCATTTAGTACACTGGATGAGAGAGAGAGATATTACATTTCTGGAGGTGCAGGTGTAAGATCCAGGCATGCTGATGGTTCTGTTGCGGGCTGTGGTTATTGTGGGAGTGGTGGAGATGTGTCAGC